GGGGGCCTTTCTGGGTGGAGTTTGCATGTTCTCTCTGTGCATTTGTGGGTTTTCTCCGGGTTTCCAGTTTCCTCCCACAGACCAAAAACATGCATGTTGAGAGTGAGAGAGTGGATGGTTGTTTGTCTCGTTTGTCTCTATGTGTCCCTGTGATGGACTGGAGACCTGTCCAGGGTGTACCCTGCTCCTCGCACAGTGATTGCTGAAAATGGGCACCAGTTACCCCTGTGACCCAATATGCAAAAAGCGGGTAAAAGATAATGGATGGATGGATATATGTAGACAAATAAATTAAAATGTAACATTTCATATGTGCTGGATTCTTAGGCCTTTCTGAAGGCTTCAAAGGCATTGAGGGTTCCCCAGTGTTAAAATCTAATTTGATTTTTGTTTGTAATCTTCCCACAGAACTCGTCTTCACAAAACATGAACTGTTCCTTTAATGGGTTTTAGTAGACAGAAGGAATTACTGGTGGTACGAGAAAACATAAAGTAAGACAAAACATCAGATTAAGACAGAAATCAACGTCCTCAAAAATAACGGACAAGAACCTACAAACTAATATTTCTACACTGGAAGCTGTTTCTAAACTAAATATTTTAAACAAATAAGTTATATGAGACTTGACCTGGAAGGACTGAAATAAATGTTTGTATAAGTTTATTGTTCAGCCCAACAAAGATTCAGTGTCTCCTGACAACTGGTGCAGCTTCAAACAGAACAAACAGACTGATAAGAATGAATTCACGTGATTTCAGCTTGTACTGTAACATTTACTACTGTGCTGAACATGCTGCATTCAGGGTTCATCTCTGAGTGTCACCGCTTCAAAGGTCATCCATGGATCACCGCACCTGTTTGAGATAACTGCAGGCAACGACAAGCTGTAGATTTTATTTGATCGTACCGCTGGTCCTGTAAATTTGTTATCTTATTCTTGGAAAAAACACCTGCAGGACTTTAGTGACAAGGGCAACAGATCCTATACATGAGGGGTTTTAAACTTTGAATGTGTGTAATAAAGGAGACAAATAAAGTTGTTGTTTCCAACAATTTTCAGTCTGGTCATCTGGACAGTTTCTTTTTTTGCTGAAACATTTCACCTTCCATCCAGAAGGCTTCATCAGTCAAGGAAACACACAACACAAAACTGATTCTTCCCCCAAACAGCTTACTCCAAAGTGGAACAAACCAGTTATGTTGGTGCTAAGATGGTGTCTTTGGCACGCCCCCTCCTCTGGAGTTGGCCCTCTTCCTCGTCGACAATCATGTCAAACTGGTTCAAAACCAAAAAAGTCCATGCTCAATAATCCGAAAGTTGTTGGTTTTTTATTATCCAGTCTAACGACGACTCGCTTTGATTCTATTCGGATCTTTGCGGTATCGACATCTGCTGGTCTCCCAAAACCTGTGCTGTTTTATTGTAACCCAACAAAAAGGAAAGAAGTGAAATAAAGTCACAAACACTCCCCGACCTCGGTCATGGTTTACTAAGTGCAGAGGCCGAGTTGAGGTCGGAGCTCATGGTTCAGGTCCATTGGGTCTGTCCGTCTGAATTCTGTAAACAGAAAAGATCTGCACCTCCTCACAGTACTCTCAAACTGAACTGGTTTCAACCAAAAGTCCAACCTAAACCTGTACATTTATAATCTTAAACAACAAGGACTAACATTTAAATCTCCACATTTTTACAACTCTTTATTGTCATTTAAACCATATTTTCTTGAAGGAATGCATGTCGCCCACCACTTTGGGTGCCAGAGAATTAAAGAAAGATGCTAGTTTGTTAGCCCTCAGAGTGTGAGCTGGGGATGATGCTCAGCTACTACCACACCACATTTCAGCTCTATATTTGTAAAGGCTAAAACAGTAGAGAATTGAAACATTTCGAGGATCATTTTTTGGAAGAATTGTCTCCACTCTCCACTTTCAAAATTTAACAAGCTCTTTTTGCTGGTTCTGAACTCTGCAGATGTTCCTCCTGGCCTGACAGTGCTGTCAGGTTGTGGAAGTGATGTTCGTTGTTGTTGGACATGCAGAAGATATTTGTTGGCGCACATCACCCAGAAGCTGCGACAAAGATTTGCTCAGTTTCTCCAGACTGCAAATTGCTGCTCACAAACCTCAAACCAAAGCTCCCAGCATCGTGTTTCAGATCCTGTTTGTTTCTCTGCCCACTTTAGTGTTTTATTTGTACTGATTTGTGGATTTTGACCCAAACAATGATCTCTGTTATGAAGAAACCTTTAAAGCATCCAAGGAACCAAAAAAAAAAAAAAACTTGTGAGAATAACCAAAGAAAGCTGTGTCCAGAAATTGGTTTTGAAATAATTTTTTTAAAATATATTTTAGTTTTAGGGTACTTTTCTGGGACATAGCTGTTTGTTGTGATTCACTCAAAATAACCTAAAACCACTAATTAAGTAGATAAAGACATGAACAAATAATATCTTACCTGTTGTGAATAGCTCTTTGAACATCCTCTGTTTGGAGAAATAAAGAATATTTCTGTCCTCTGTTTCACATTATCCAGTTACTGCAGCAGTTTTATTGTTATATTCATACAAGAAGGTTTTTAAAATGGCATTGGTTTTGTCCCTCCAAACCAGAGGTCTGCAACCTTTATGATCAAAAGAGCAATTTTGGACCTTTTGTTCAATAAATTAAATGTGTCCAGAGCCACAAAAGCTGCTACAATTGTCATTATCAACTGCCCATGATCCACTTTAAGTTTGTTAAAGTGGGCTTTTCTGGCCAGTAGGTGTGAAATTATAAAACTAAAAACATCTAATGATTGTTAACATTTATTGATATTTTTACATTTTGAGACAAAAGAAAAAAACTGAATTTCATCCATCCTTCCATCCATCCATCCATCCATCATCCATCTTTATTCGCTTCTTCCTTTTCAGGTTGCAGGGGGTCACTGGTGCCCATACAGGTCTCAAGTCCATCACAGAAGACCGGATTCTTGTAAAGAAAATATACTGTATATATATATTATTTTGCCTTTTTTTTTTTTTTCTAAAATGATGAACTGTGCAAGAATATGTTTTGTGGAGAAACTGAGTATCCTACTTTGAAGAAATAAAGCATCAAATTAAAAGGAGTATAATTTACTCTGTGAATTAGTGCTAGTATCCAAATATTTGCAAAGGAAATGACAGGAAAACAGCTAAAAATAGTCATTTTTAGTTGTGGGTACAACATCCTATAAAATTCAGTTTTATGTTAGTTTTGATCAAAGCTTGAAAGAACCGCTGCAGATGAACCAAAGAGCCGCATGTGGCTCCAGAGCCGCAGGTTGCAGACCCCTGCTCCAAACTGAGGTTATTCAAAGGGTTATCTGCAACAGGTAAGATATTATTTGCTCATAAGATGTCTACAGAAACCCACTTCAAAAGCTTGAAACTGTCCCTTTAACTCAATAATATGTAATGTGAACCTGATTAAAAATATGAAAACACATAAAAACCTGAAATATTGTTGATATATTCATCCATCCATCCATTATCTTCCGCTTGTTCTGAAGTTGGATCGTGGGGGCAGCAGCTTGAGCAGGGAGGCCCAGACAGCTCTTTCCACAGCCACCTCTTCCAGCTCTTCTGGGAGGATTCCAAGGCATTCCCAGGTCAACCAAGAGACGTAGACTCTCCATCGTGTCCTGGGTCTTCCCCGGGGTCTCCTCCCAGTTGGACATGCCCGAAACACCTCCCTAGGGAGGTGCCCAGATGGCATCCTTATCTGATGCCTGAACCACCTCAACTGCCTCCTCTCTATGTGGAGGAGTAGCAGTTCTACTCTGAGTCTCTCCTGGATAACCGAACTTCTCACTCTATCTCTAAGGGTAGGAACGTAGACCGACCAGTAAACCGAGAGCTTTGCCTTACAGCTCAGCTCTCTCTTCACCACAACGGACCAGTACAGAGTCCGTAATACTGCAGATGCTACACCAATCTGTCTGTCAATCTCACTCTCCATTCTTCCCTGACTCATGAACAAAACCCCAAGACACTTGAACTCCTCCACTTGAGGTAGAACCTCACTCTCGACCCAAAGAGAGTAATCCACCCTTTTCCGGTTGAGGACCATGGCCTCAGATTTGGAGGTGATGATTCTCATCCCAGCTGCTTCACACTCGGCTGTGAACCGCTCCAGTAAGAGCTGAATATCAAGGCATGATGACGCCAACAGGACCACATCATCTGCAAAGAGAAGAGATGGAATCCTGAGGCCACTGAAACGGAAACCCTCCGCCAGCTGGCTG